TTAGATATTTTACTGATGTTAAAAAATCGATAACATAGCATATTCAAGTTTAATGTCTTTAACTCAGTATTCTTCTTTCATAAATTTTCAGGTAAACTATAAATTGTTCTTTCTAGTTTTGCAAAATGAGTTCCTGAAACTAATTAATTAGTCTTTATATTTTAAAATCAGCCTATAATTAACTTGATTTGTTCCATTCATTTCATGTTTTTTTTCCAATTAATTTCATTTTATTTTAATTTTAAGTATCAATTTCAAAAGAAAAAAAAAGAAAGATAATATGAAAAGACTATTAAAAGGAAAGTGTTTTTTGAAAAAAAATTATTAAATTAAATATGTTTAACACTGGTAAAAAAATAATTAATTAATTTTCGAAATTAGAAAGAATATTCAATTTATTTTGAAAATAAAAAAAACCTAGCTAATTTATAATTTACTCTTCTTATCTCTAATGACTATCAAAGTACAGCTAAACTTTAACTTATGTTACCATAATAGTTATTTGATGTGCTTTAACTGCTTGAGGCAGAAGGTGAACAAAGGGATTAATTAACCCCAAAGCTTCAGGATTAATCAATGCTATTGATATTAAAAATAATAAATTTTGTTATGATTGATATTTTTTTTAATTGAAATGATACAATATATATATATATATATATTCAAATCTAAAAATAAATTAAATTAAAAAATATACATCAGACGCATGACTTGTTCCATTTTCATTAATAGTCTAACTCAGAAACAATAATAAGGACTTTTAAAAAGGATGGTTAAGACTATAATATCAGTGGTTTTTTAAGTGTTTTTTTTTTAATGTATTAAAATAATATTTTTTTTTATTTTTTTAAATTATTTTTAATATATACACATCAAAACGTTTGAAAATATATTAAAAAATAAACAAAAAAAATTCTTTTTCTTATAAAACACCGTTTAAAATGAAATTCCAAATAACTTCAAATTGCCTTCCTTCCTGTGTGTTTCTGGGTTGCAGAGGAATCTTAAACACAAAAGTATAGTGGCGGAGACAAAGATCCTATTAAAGTAAGATTTCATGAGTCTACTTCTACTGTAAATTGTTTGCTGTTTTGCTTTTGAGTCTTGACCCCACTAATAATAATAAAGAAAAAATAAAAAGAAAAGGAAAATAAAGGAAAACTCAATTTAGGACTAAACCTATATACTCACTCTCCCAAATCCATAAATTAATCAATTTGATCCCAGATGTTTAAAAACGTTCTCAATCAGGTCTTTCTATTAATGTTCATCCATATTTTTTTTCAAATTTTCTTTAATCCATGTAGTTTTAATTGTATAAATTATGCGTATAAGATTTATACTATTAAAAGAAATTGATTAAACGATACAATTGAGAAATGCAATAAAAAAATTTAGATTAATTAAGTTGATAAAATCTATAAATTAGAAATGTAATTGAGAACAAGTAAATGGATGTACCATTAAATTGATGTTTTCTTGTATTATGTTTATTGGAAATTTGACATAGTTTTTTTTCATAAATATAATTTTTAGTTAGTTTTTTTATGTTAAAAGGGTAGCATAGCATAGCCAAGTTTAATGTGTTAACTCAATATTCTTTTTATATTAGGTGGAAAAAAAATAGTACTCTTAGTGTTACTTGTAATTAAGCCCATAATATCTACGGAAAATTATAATTTATAGTTAGTTTTACTTGTAATTGAATTGTGATAACTTTAATAAAACAAATTAAAATAAATTATGAAATTTAATTTTAATAAACTCTTTGTTAAATAATAAAATTAAGAAAAAATTCATCTTCAAAGAAAAATAATAAAACAACCTAAGTATACTTATATTAATTTGTGAAATTCATAATCTAGATATAGAGAGTGAAGTAATTTCATGAAAAATAAATTGAAACAAATAAAAAATATAATTCATAATTAACCAAATGTTCAAGATGTTGAATGATGAAATTGACAAAAAAAACATCATTTAAAAATAGATAAAAAAAACTCGAGACAACTAAGTTAACCCATTAAACTCATAGCATACATAGATCATAAAACTAATATAACCACACACACAAAAAAAAACCATAATAAAATATAAAAGTTCAATTTTTAATAAATCAAGTGTTGCATGATGAAGTTAGTAAAAAACATAGATTAAAAAAAATATTATTCACAAAATAAAAGAACAAAATGATTAGAACAAAATTAGAATGTCTAGGTTGAATTTGACTAAAAAATCCAAAATGGACCACGATCCTAAGCAAGATGAAATTTATTTCGAGTTATTTTTTTTTCTTAATTGGTACAAGATATATAAAATATTTTGGATGAAACAGAACAAAATTGATAACCTTAATAAATAATGTTGATTTATCAAACACAACACTTTTTGGAAGAATATATGAAACATAATGAAATTGGAGTTCTCAAAATTATAAAAGTGTAAGTGTTAGTTACATTGTTATAAAAACTAAACTAGCTTGTGGGTTAATTTAGGGCCTGGACTAGTTCATGTTAACAAAAAAAACCTTTAAAAAATTTTCTCGGTCAAACTCAAATGATATACTTGGTTGACTCAGAATCTAAGTGATTTGACCTAGTGAGCTCAAAGCCTCGATTATTCGCTAAAAAACCCTTAGTAAATTCATTAAATTAAACTTTAATTACCTATTTGCTTAACCCAATATCCAATTTACCTATTGAAACCTAGATGAGACCTAACTATTTCTTTAAAAAAAAATGACACCATTTTAAATTTGGGATAAAAAATTCCTTAATCTCAAAAAAGATAGCGACCATGTAGAACACCTAATCCCCTCTCCTTTTCCAGTCCCAATCCTGCTTCTTCATTTTTTTTTCTCATAATTGAGAGCCTCAACCTGATCAACACTTCTTGCAATATCTCTTCCTACTCCTTTAGTTAATTTATCAATGACAAGAAGTCTTGCCTTTACCTTTACCTCTCTCCCAACGGAGAAAACCAACAGCAAGATCAACAAATGGAAATGTTGTCATGCTTGGACATTGCAATAACCGATTGAAAATTTTGATGTAATTTATCGGACAAAGAATGAATATCTAGCTTCTTGTTTTTTGAGGAATTTTTTAGTTAAAGGAATTACCACCTAATATTATGACCATTAAAAATTCTAACTAATCAACAAATATTTAATGGTACGGAATTAGTTATGCAAAAAGAAAGATTCTATCAACTTTTAAGCATCTCATCTGAGGTAGAATGCATTACTGATTTTGTCTAAAATTACTAAAAATTTGTTTTTCTTTTTTATTATTCTTCCTATTATGTTTCTAAATCTAGTGTTAGTGTACAATTTCTATAAATATTTTTAATTTTAGTATTGGTAAATATTACACAAACACAAAAAAAAAAACACGACATTCCAGATTCTAGTGTCAATGACTAATTTCACAAGAAATTAAATTTGAAGAAGAATTTTCCTTTTCCATCTCTTTAAACCCTTTTATTATTATTTGTTCCTTTTAGATGGAAATAAAAAAAAAAACATTACACAATAGATTTTGAATTTAATAATAATGGTTTATGGATTAAGTACATATCATAAAAAATACAAAACGCAAAGAAAAAAAATAAAAAAACATGTAAGGGGTTTGCAAATAAATTAACGAAGATCTCTAAAATTTTTCAAAAATTTCTAATATCAAAAAGAATTTGTTTGGCCAAATATCAAAATAAAAAAAAAATACATATAAAATATATAAAAATATATTTTTTCAAATACATCCTTAGTAAATATAATTTGTACTCACTAGGTCTAAAACCCACATTCAATCCACTTTTCTTCTTTTTTTTACTGGGCTGGGTCTCGCCCAGCCGTACGGAATGGGCCAGACCCCGCGGGTATGATGATCTTTAATTGATGATTTTCATCTTTTATTCATGTTTTTCTTTAATTTCTTCAAAATGAAGTTTATATTTTTCTTCAATTATTTTGTTAGCTTCTTCCACCATTTGTTCAAAAGAGTGTATATCTCTCTTCTAAACTTATAAACCTATGTTCCTCTTCTTTATTTTCTATTGTTATCTTTGGAATGATTGATTCTATATTTCATTTTTCAATAAGAACATCTATCATGGTAATTTTGATCTTCTTGGTACTATAGTTTCAAAGAAACAAGTATGAGATTCTCATTGCAGTCGCTTTGAGGTTTTTGTGTGCTTGTCTCAACTAAAAAAAAATTAAATTTCAAAATTAGATACTAAATTTAATGTCAACAATCTGAACTTCAGACACTATTTTTATAATTCTAGACTTATAGTTTGAGATTTATAACAATATTTTAAAATTTTTATAGTCTTTTAATATGTAAGTTCAAATTTATTGACAAACCTAAGTTTCCATACCAATTATTGAAAATTACACACACAAGTATTTGAATCTTTCAAGTACTTATTGATTGATCAAACTCTTATTAAAATTATAAATGCATTTGCTTTTATATTTATAGAAAAATTACAACCTTTAACTATCATAATCCAATAAAATTTTTACTAAGTCAACAAGGAGAAGTAATTAGTCTAACACAAATCTTTTTTTTTATTATTAAGAATTTCTTACTTACACTAAAATTTACTAGTCTAACATAAATGTTTTTTTAATCAAGAATTTTGACTTACAGTAAGATTTTATTTAACAGTTATTATAAGAGAGAATTAGTGCTAAAAGAACTATCAATGGTTTGCCATCCTTTACTAGGATGTCGAAATTGTTTTTGTTAATATATTTTATCCAAATATATTTACTAGGTAACAAAAATTCAGGAAACAATTTTTTTTCAAAGTTTAAATTAAAAAGTTTGGTAGCTTTATTGAGGGAAAAAAATAGAATTACTCGTATCAATAAAATTATTCTGGATCACATGAAATAAAAAAAATAACCTGCAATAAAATAAATCATAAAACATAGTTTCTAGTACGGCAAACATGGCCAAATACACATGGCACACGAATCACAAAATATATTATCCATTTTCACAGTCATCAACGGTGTCATCTGCAAGGTCATCGGCACTCTCGCAATCGATATTGTCATCAGCTAGGTCATCAGCACTATGATTAGCACTGCCATCGGCACTATCATCAGCATTGTCATCAGCTAGGTCATCGACAAGTTATCAGAAGCGTCACCTTCAAGGTCCTACAAACTTTTAAGTGCACTATAAAGCAGATGTCGCAGCATGCAACATAAGCTAGGTGTAGAACCTTCATAGCAGACCAAAAACTTGATCACCAGGAACACTGATAGATTTTTAGGTCAAACTAGAAAAATATTGCAGGCTTTACTGAAGAGGTATCACCTACTTACAGAAGCAGACGAAAATGCTTACATATTAGTTAAGGCCTTGCTTTTAGTGCTTCTGTTTCCAACTCTTGTCGTTTCTCATCTCTAATGCTTTCTTTAAAATGAGTCGCCTCCATGTCATATCTATTGAAAAATTAGTATTGCAAGCCCATAAGCAACGGTAGAGGTTCCAAATCAAGTTGAACAAGAAGTTGTATACTTCAATATTTCATGTAGAAGAAAGCTACTGAGATAGAGGAAACTTCCAATACAGCTCATGTAATGATCATATATACTGCTTTGATGCTTTGCAACATTTTGATTCTACATTGAATAGAAGAGATGCATGTAGAACGTATAGCTTTCCAAAATAGAGAGCAAGATGTACACTTACTGGGTGAGGAGTTTTTCAAAACAGATATGAGTTTTTTCCTAAACTTCGGTTCTGGACGAGCTTTAACAGCTTTTCTCAATGCCAACCAAGTCTGTAGGAAATCAATTGTATAACGAGTGATATGATTCTTACTTCAAGGTAGCACAATAACTTTTGTAAGAAGAAACAAAGAAGAAAGAAATACCTTATTAGATTTCAAACGACTGTGCGTCTCCTTGGTAATTTGTTCACATCGAAATGTGGCAATCATCACCTAATAAATAAAATTGAGAAATACAATCACACAGGAAAATCTAGTTAATTTTTCGCAAACGAAGTCATCAATATTTAAATAAACCTCCATAGCAGCAAGATCAAGATCCTTGTTCTCCTTTATGGTTTTCCATATCTGTTCTGCATGAAGGGGAAACCCTGAAGCAGGTTGGGCATCCTTCCTATCACCAGCAAGACCTCCCGGAGAGACAGAATGGAAGAACCGCTGCCTTGGCCGATCAACCTGTAAAATACATCACGTAAGGGATTTCGGTCAGTAATAACAATAATAATAGCACAACTAGGTAACCCAAAAGCATAAAATTCTAATTAACCAACGAAATTTGGTGATAGGAATTGTTTAAAAAAGATAAAATAAAAATATTTTAATTAACCAAACAAGACGTTAAATTTTTATATATTTCTATATATAAATGTAATGCTGAAATTTAATATCATTTTTTTGTGAAAAATCTAATTATCATCATTTATAAAAATAATGATTAGGGACTTTTGGTCTATCTGAATAATAAAAATAGATTATAAAGTCTGATTAACAAATTATGGAGTGATAATAACCACATAATAATAAAAGCAACACCAATGGCTTTGAATTCTAATTTATTTGGTAACAAAGCTAAAGCCTTTAATACTAGAAAATCATGCTAAAACACAATCCACCAGTTGAAAACAATTAGTTTACCTTATCTTTAAACTTCTCCTCCTCTAATTCATAGCTAGGCAAAGCAGTGACCTCCACCTTCATTTTGTATTAATAATAAGAACACAAGACAAAGCTACAAAGAATTAGCACCGGTCGAAAAACTATACCAATCAAGAAATTTAAGTTAATAAATGGAACTTAAGAAATAATATCATTTCAAAAAACCATATTAAATTAAAAAATTAAATTATTAGCTGATACCCAAAGAATTAATGACTTTATATTAACTCATTAAAAAAAATATTTAGTTTTGGATTTAATTTGATCCCCTCCTTCATTCCATGGTTAACTAAAAGTGGCTTGAGTTTTATGTCAATTGAAAATAAAAGAATTTAGTAAAGCAAGCATACATATATATAAGCATACGTTAAGGGATCGAAGGAATCAACCTACATTAAGAAAATCACCCAGAGGAGTCCCTTTATGAGCATCAGGCTTAGCAATCTCAGCCCATATCTGTATAATTATTTACCACAGGAATCGATTTAAGTTTCATGGTTGGTTGGTTCAATTGAAAATTCAATGCCTCGATTCTCCATATATGCAGTGGATTTGATCAAGTTATGCATTGGCTTAATGAATGACAAAAACCTAGAGATCCCAAAGATTCATATTTGTAAAAATCAAATTATGGATCAAACGTATATAAAATGATACCTCATTTATTATTATTATTATTTTTAATTCATTGTTACTTAATTTGGCAGCGTAACTTCATTAATCAAATTTTCAAAAATCCAAATCCTTTAACGACCATATTATTTAATAAAGTTTTGCTAGGTAGGCGTGAAATAAATTCAGGTCTCTATTTTAAATGTTGAGAGAAATGAGATCATCCAATTAAAATCTAAAACAACATTAAAATCAGATAAAATTCACTTGTTCATGAACTAAGATGCATAAAAAGAATATATTCAAATAAATTGAAATTAATGATGAGCATACAAAACTCACATGTTTATCATTACAATGTCAGCAATTGCCAAAGCAAATAGAGCACTTTGCTTTTCGAATGGTGCGCCGTCCTCCTGAGAACATCATAATTTTTTCTCTTCTTTTCAAATCGCAGTGCAAGTATAATATATGAAATTAATTACCAATAATATTGTTGATATAAACAGAAGTTAAAGAATGATTTTATTGAATTTTAATTTAAACATTAATTATTACAATTGAAACTCTACTTAAATATTAACGTAATAGAAACATAATTAAGAGCCTATGATTCACAATAATACCCTTCCCAATCCAAATGCCTTGGGTTCTTTGACTCCTGACAATATATATAAGCTAAATTATCTTTCATGGCAGGGTGCAAAACTAGTAAATCAGTAGACGAATCCTCCTTTCTAAAACAAATTAAAGAACACCGAACCTTCCTTCTTCTGCATCCATCAAGCCTGTGCTTTTTTTTCCATTGGGTTATGAGATGTTTTGGTCTGGGCCCATTTATTTTCCTTGGATAAGGCTTATGTGGGTTCTAGCAAATGGGTTGACATTATCATTTTATGGGATTGGGTCTGAGTAAAAAATTATCCACAAGTTCAAAATATGGAGAAAGCAGTCTGCATTACCAATATGCATGCTTGAATATAACCTCTTCCCATGCGTCTGAGGCTAAGGGGGGCAGTGGAGCTCCCATGTGCGTATTTTGCAAAGATGGATACGTGTAGAAAATATGGGGTTTAACTACTTTAAATATGGAAAAAGCCAATGGTGTTTAACTTCTTTAACTATGGTGAGGTAGGGCGATGTTCTAATGATAGTGAGAGATAAAAATTAGTAAAAATGATTGAAGAGTATTATGTGTAAGTGATAAGCTAGTAAGAATTGTTACATAGATGGGAAAAAATATATATATCTTGACAGTAAAAACCCTTTGAAGCCAAGGGCATGATATATAAAACTGATAGAAATAATAAAAAAGATATTTATTTGTATAATAATGATGATTAGAAATATTCCTCCATCGTTATAAAATTATTACTAACATTAAAAGTTGTAGTAAGGATTCATAATAAAGTATATTTTATATCCAGTGCATCATAAATAATAAAATATTTGATTTGATTATTAATAAAGATAATTGTAAAAATATTATTGATAAACATATACTGTTGATATATTAAATTACCATTAGAATCACATTTTAAATTATATAAAATTATGTATATTTTTCCGTTAGAAAATATAATCATGAGATTTATTGGTCTTTTTAGATGATTTTGACCGACCAAAGGTAAAAAATACTCTGAAAAATAGCTGTAGATGGAAGCTAAGTAACCTTCAAAATTGTTCGTTCTTTCTAATGATCATGGATTTATTGGCCTTTTTTTTTTCTTTTTAATTAGTTTTCCTAACTTGGGAGAAAGGATTAATTTTGATAAACGATACCATGCATAAAGGAGATTAGGTCGACACATGTCCAAACAGTATGGCTCCATTAATTAATGTCTTTGTAGCAGTCCGTGCACCAACAATACCAAATTGGAGATTAATTATTTATCGAAAATATCATATTAAAAGTTTCCTCTTTCCGGTTACGGTAGCGACATCCTCCTTCTACCTCCATTGATTACTACTCTACAATACCAAATTCGATTAATATATGATGAGAGATTTGCAAGATTACCATTTGTAGAAACTGAAAATATTTTTACCATTGTTGATTACCATTTGTAGAAACTGATGATCTTTTTACTAGCACGGCTTCTCAATTACAAACAAACTTCTTTCATCAGATTCACCATTACATGTTGCATGGATCGCTGGACACATAATTAATATTAACTGTTCAAGTGTGGATTTGTCATTATTGTTGTTGTCACAGCCTCCTCGATCTCAGGAAGATCCAAACCGCTGCATTTACCGAC